CGTTCTTATATATATATATATATATATATATATATATATATATATATATGTGTGTGTGTAATAATAAACTCAAATCACTGGGAATCTTATTTTAAAATGCCTATACTTTATTATTGCCGATGTTGTGCCCAATTTTGCCCCCCTGCCAAATTATTACCCCCCTCGTTCAAGTCGCTACCCGATTGCCTAATCCTAACCCCTCCCCCTCCCCCACACCTAAACCTACCAATACTAGGGGGGTAAGAATTGGGCACAACACTGGCTTTTACATTGTCATAATTCATGAACGGATGAACAACAGCAGGCCATAAGCAATCTATTAGTATAAATGTGTGATATTAATTGATTGCAAACTGCTCTGAAACCGCGAGTTTGTAGAACGCTGCCTTATAACTGGAATGTGTAGTGCTTAATTTATTTATTGAAATCACAGACTTCTGAAGTTTAATAATCACGCTAGGCTGAATCACGATTCCATTTTTTCCATCCTCAAATTTAAGACCTCTTAGATTAACCTGTTAGGACTTTTTTTTTTATTAGCACACATGCTCCTATATACATTTGAAAGTGCAAAAGCGAGTGAAATGCTCGTGCTGTTGAGCCCTGTGTATCTTTCTCTTTTTTGATATCGTACAATCCAGTGTGCGGCTGGTTGGTGGGAAGAATTAAAATGGCATCTGACAGCATTTAATATTGTCCTCTATTGTTGCTCAGCCCAGGTCAGTGTTCCTTATGGCCTTTCCCGACATTGGCATTTTAATAAAATCATGTGACAACACAATAATGTAACATACTGTTTTTAATTGCACAAGTCTCGCATAATTATTATTATTTTTTTACATCAGTACTCCATACTGCTTAGTATGCAGTACACTACTATTCCATTCACAGCCATACAAGCATGCTTAAAATGAATGGAAAGAGAAATATTATTAGGCCACACTTATTAATAGAAAGACCTACAGGAAAGTGATGGATGACTTGGGGTGACCACATTGAATATCTAATTATAATATCACTCATAATTATAGTTACAGTTTAACAGATCTATATTTGAGTATATAAACAGTGACGCACAATTGGTACTTCAGCTCTGACTGCTTATGCCTGGAGACTTCAAGTGCTCTCTACCAATTAGATGTCACTTAATTGCAATCCAGTGAGTGGCACTTGTCAGCAATCGTTCGCTCACCACTCGTCAGTTTATTGCACGATATTCAGGGTCCTGTGGCACCGTCTTTACATTTGATTATAATGATAACAATGCCTAATTGCACTGTTGCATGCATTAAGTGAGCGTGGCACAGTCTGCATATTTATGACTCGACATTCTCCATTCATTAGTGCCACAGAGACCACTGACAAGTGAAATGGAGTTCTTCATTATCGTTTTAATTAACACCAAAGTCTTGAGGGGTAGCCATCGAGGTATCTGAAAACATGGTACATGGTTTCTATTTTTACCCCTCTCTGTGGAACTGGTTTCGAAAGTGGAATAATGTTGTGTGAAATGTGTGTCACGGATTGACCGAGTAAATCCACATGGGATGTAAGAAACTCAGATTATTAAGGAAGACTATGCTGTTCTTAGCATGTTCCGTAAAACTCTTTTGAAATGAAGGTTAATAACATTTCAGATTTCTGGGCTACTTTCATTTGCTCTGGGTGAGAGAGCCCATAGGAACGGGAAATCACAAATGAGATCTCTTTAATATCTCGATTGTTGCTCCTAGATTGCAGTGATAATTATAGAGAACAAATTTAAAAAAGCCTTTTGCTTATGTCAATTTCTGCAAAAAAAAGAATCATGCTTTGGTAAATCATAATTATGATACAAACACAGTTAAATTGTTATATACAAAATGTTAATGACTTAAATCTAAATTATGATACATGTCAAAATTAAGAAAAAATTATGACATACAAAGTGATATAATAATGAGATGAAAATTCATAATTATTAGATAGGGGAGAGCGGGGCACAAAGTAGCACTTTTTGACTTTCTCAAATTGTGTAAATCCACATGGGGTTCAGAGTATAATTTTTTTCATCCACAGTAATTTCACACTTGTCTAGTACAAATATGTCACCTTGTTTCAAAATTACAGTGTATATGTTTTTCTTTATTTACCCTCAAAAATTGGATGTGAAATGTGACAACATGCCCCATAGGTGGGGACCGTGGGGTACATTGTAACAGCTGAGAGGCACGTTGTAACATGACCATATAACAGCTTAAAATGTTATCTGATCGCATTCCAAAAATATACAAGACAAACTAAAATATTTTGTCAATAAAATAAAATTATTTATTTCAAATAAAATAATGGCGTTTTTAAAAATTAGAATTTTTAAATTTTAAAGAATTAAAAATAATCTGTTTTTGGAGTTTGACAACGAACACATTGTAACCATGCTTGGGACGGTCCACATAAACGAGCCAAAATGCTTTACATGTCTTGAAATAATAATTTCTTAACATTAAACATTAACTGTAAGTCTTTATTCACCTGTTTCTCGTCCCCTAAATTTATTAAAGTAAATAGTGTGAATTACATCGCTAATGTCATGGAATAGCACGGCAAGGCACATTGTAA